TCCAGCACCTCGTTGAAGTTGTCCACCGAGAGGGAGTAGAGCCGGCAGTAGGTATCAGCTCGCACGCTGGCTGTGCGCCGGCCACGGGTCAGCAGGCAAATTTCTGGAATGAAAGACCCAGAGAACTGGGATAGACACCATCACCCCTGCGATATGAGATCTGGCACTGTCACTCACAGACAGTCCTGCCTGCCACCCAGTCTCCTCTCTAGCTGGACTCTACCTGCTCTCCCACTAAAAATATGAACAGTGGTAATATTCTGCATATGCAGTAACATTTAAAAATACCAGGGGGCTGAGTTGTGGCAGCTGCTACACACAATTGCACCTCAGGGATTTTGCTGATCTAATTACCCAGACCAGTTTTATTATGGTGGATTATCAAAGATATCATTTTTGCATTCAGACTGGAGAAGCTGTCTTTCTCCAGCTCCTCATGGGCACTGGGAGCAGAAGGTCAAGCCGTGCTCTCATTGAAGCTAATTCTCTTTCTAGATTTGTAGTAAAGGCTCTGTGCTGACCTGTGGCCTTGGTGCCTGGCAGTAATTTTGATCCCCACACCCGGAACATTTGTCTTTTCGAAGTTTTCCAAGTTTTTTGTAGATGTGCAACAAGTTTACAGATCGTCAGGGAAAGCCAAGTTAGTGGCACCTACCAACTCTTGGTGTATTTACACTGCAGTCATCTACTCCTAGGAGGATGCTCAGCCGGTTACAGAACAGAAAGCCCTTGACTCTACCATAAAAGTAGCATCACTACAAGGTTATAATTGCGTTATTAGGCTGCTTTCCTAAGGAAATGATGCTTATGAGACTGCGCCGGCTTTGAATGTGTGTATGGTGTCTAAAACACATCGAATGTCATGGGCAATTTTAATCAAATCTGTCAGAGTCAGGGTATCCCGACTGTAACGCTGTAACTCCAAATCCCAGCAAACTGACCCAATTTGCTAGGGATGTGCAAAATCTTTGTACTCCAGGTAGGTGCAGACAGGTTGTTTCACAGGAACCAAGTCTAAGAAGAGTGTAGGTAATGCATGATAGGGATTTTTTAATAAAGAAAAGCTCTTACAGAAGGGAAGAAAAGGCAGGTTTCATTCTACCCCCGCTCAGTAGGTCATTAATTGTGGTGTATTCAGTGCTTATACTGAAACATGCATCTACTAGAGAACTGGCTGTCTTGGGCTGTCAGCGAGGTCTCTACGGGGCTCTGATAGGAGGGGTGTCTCTGTGTTACTCCTAAGAGCGACATCCTAAATCTTCTCTTACAGTCTTTTCTGACCTCATGCTGGTTTCCCTGTTCCAGAGCTCTGCTGCTGCTATGTTATGCCCGCCTGCTCACCTTCACGACGTTTTGCTGAGCCGCAGGCTGGGGAGATGATGGACTATGTTTTTTCCTCCGTGTTTACACAGTACCTTGTATGATAGATGCCAGACAGTAAGACTAGGCAACACTATAAATGTGCTTGGAGAATTGAGAATGCTCCATTTTTTTCCTTTAAGTTCTCAGCTTCACGGAACTGTCAGTTTGCTTGGGGTAAAAAGAAATGAACCTACAAGCACTAAGTTTCCCTTCTCCGTTTTGTTATCATTTATTATCCGTATTCCTGTACTGCCCATGAGTCCCAGTCACCTCCCAGTCACAATTTCCTATATGGGAAGCTGCAAGACAGGTGAGATGAACAGAGACAGAGGGTGGAAGAGGAGGTGCTAGGTGTATCGGTTCCACGTGCTGCCATCCCAGTGTGGGTATTGCTATGTAAGGGTGACACACTAACACGCACCTCCGAAGTAGGAGCCATCTGCCAGCTTGGTCTCCTTGTTGCCTTTGGTGAGGACGCTCACCACCCCGTGCTGGATGAAGTACATCTTCTTGCCAATGGTGCCCTCACGGATGATGTAATCCCCTGGCTGAAACACCTCAAATCGCAACTTGGTCAACATGGATGTCACAAAGTTGGGATCTGCATTGGCAAAGAGCGGCATGGAGGCAACTAGCTTCCGGCAGTTGAAGTTTATGATTTCCTGACCATGATGTGATGCAAGAGAGAGAGAGAGAGAGAGGGAGGGGGGAGAAAAGATGGGACAGGGAGCAGAAAAGACACATCCATATGTTTAGTCAACATCTAATAACTTATCCCCCACTTGATCTGTACATTGCAAAGTGGAAAAAAAAAAAATGCTGTTCCCTTGGTCTGGCTCCCCCAGTGCAGGCTGGAATGGGCTCTGGGTGCTCAGAGCACATGGCAGCGCGAGCTGAAGCTGACAGCTTGACACCATGCTGCACTACTTTCATTCATACAGTTTCTCTCTGAGCAGGGACAATACTCCCCCAACCTCCCAAATACACACAATATACCTCTTTCTGCAGGAAACCTCGGTCTGTGAGAGAGGTGCATAGCACTGGTGAAATGCTGTACGAAAAAGCCCAGGGCTTCTCTCCGGGAAAATGTTTTAACTCACCCTGGCAGCCCTCCGTTCTCTGCTGCCCTTGCTTGTCAATGAGATATTAAACAGTGCAAATGTGCCAAGGCGCTCAGAAAAAGAATTATCCTGGGCAGATGGGGACAGTGTCAAGAGAGGGGAGGGAGAGGTGCCCACCCGTCACTGGGGCATGGGCTGGATCATCAACCTCAGATGAAGAAAACCCAATTCAGCTGTTCAGCTGTCACACAGCAGACAGGGACTGCGCCTCCTCCTGTGGCTTGGTGTCACTCGGAGGGTATGACAGCACTTTCCGCTGCATAGGAGCTGCTCTGCACCATGTCAGCTCAGCCTCAGAAAGCAGCAGAAAGTGATACTGAGTAAATCACCTCAGCACATCACTCCCCAGCCAAGCAGGGAAGGAGCACCTGGATGACTGGAGCAGGAAGAAAGAGGGCTGGGGAAGCATCTGTCTCCTCCTCACTGGGGTTTTTTTCAGGGTTGCCCTTTGAGACTTTGGCAGAACTAGTTTTAAAATATGCCTGGTAGATCCTTAGCTTCTCTCTCTCCTACGGAGGTACATTACTGAGGGGAGGAAGACAGAAAGAAGACCGCTTCTGGTGCTTGTGGGCAACATATTGGAGGCACATACCAGGGAGAACCTGCATTGCTAGGCTTCAGCTAGGGAAGGGGGGGTTCTGTAAGGACTTCTTCGAGTGTGGAGGCTCCTCCTTCCTTTGACTCTACATGCTGTTACAGCTGATGGATGGGGCACAGATGAGGCCAGCACACCACAAAGAGGTTTATATAAGTACATGAGACACAGCTTAATATTAGGGAGCATGAGGTGGGAGCTTATTGAGACGTTGTGCCAGGCAGCGGTGCATGTCTGTGCAGGGAGGGAAGGGGGCTTGCAGAAGTCTGAAGTAATAGCAAGGCACTTCCCAGGGGCTCTTTGGGGAAGGGGATGACATTGCCACAGCCTCGAAAGGTGCCAAGATGTACCTATTCACATGCTGAGTGGGTGGCAGGGCCTGCATATTGCAGCCCCTGTTGCCTTTCTGTCAGACATCGCTTGTGCTGCAGCAATTAACAGACTCAGGCAGGAGTCTGGCAAATGCCAAAGGCCTGGCTTTCTGCTAGGTTTCTGCTGCTCTCTCTGATGCTGGAGCGCACACAGCCAGTGCTAACGGGAAAGCTGGCCTCGCACCATTCCCATCAATTGATGGTGTCCTCTGCAAAGCACTGGGACACCGCACACCGGGAACTCCACAGCTGCCAAAGATGACAGGAACATGCATTGCCCGTTCACTGCCCCCTCCTTACCTCTCGGAGGGGCTCACTCAGCTCTCCCAGGATGCTCTCCTCATCGAACATCTTCCCCTGATAGCGGTGCTCATAGTAATCATGGATGCGCTGCCGCATGTCTGCAGGGAGCTTGTGGAAGGACATATACTGTTCCACTTGTTTGTACTGTGCAGGGGAGAGAAGAAGAGGAGGAGTTACCAGGACATGTAACAAATGGTGCCTGTTCCCATCCAAGCACATGCTAGACCGTACCCATACCTGCTTCCTTGCCACCAAGCCAGGTCCAGGCAGATAAATCTGGTGCGGGAGAGAGCAACTTTCTGAACAGGAGTTTGCAGACACCTTTGTTATATTCCCCAAATGGCTGCCCCATGTTTTAACCTTTAAACTTATCCTCAGCCAGTTACTCTGTGGAGACAACTCCTCATTCCCTGGATGCTGAGCAGCCCAGCTGCCTATTCTCCCCTACACACACAGCAAAAGCTGGGAGCAGAGATGAGTAAGAAGTCCTCAGCTAGGAATCTCCTCTCAGCAAATATTGCTGTCCAAACCCTGTGCAGAATGAGAGCAAGGAAAGTAGAATGTGTACTCAACAGAAGGTTTTTCCATGGCACACAGCAGAATGGCGGCCAGCGTGTATGACCTGGCAGCTTGGTCATGACCAGCAAGTGATGTGCAGCACCTCGAGGCCTCAGCCAAGCACAGGAACCCACTGTACCAGGGGCCACACAGAACAGAACACAGTTCTGCCCTGGATGTTCATAGTCACAAACTGAAGGACACGCACAGACGGAAGTCTGAGTTATTCGGTTGAAGCTGCAGTACCCGTGACCTGCTTTTCCTCTCCTCTGTGTTCCTGTCTGCCTCGCTATGATGGCACCTTTGCTTTCCCACCTAGGGCTGCACAGGTCCCGATTTTCTTCACCTTTTGCTGGGTCCCTTTTGCCCCATGCACTTGTGCCATCTAGCCTGTCCGTATTTTTACCTAATGTTTTGCATTTCCATCATGTCACTTAGAGGGGAATACAAGGGCACACTCTGACTGATGCCAGAGCGGTATTTGGGGATGAATGGTGCTTTCTGTGAATAAATGGCACTTCCTCAAGGGCACAGAACTGTAAATGGGTCCACTTGCCTTGAAGGTGCGGCAGGGACAAGGTGTGCGCATTGCAATGGTCATGCTCCCTCCCTCTGTACTGGTACGCAGTACAGAATATGATCCTGAGCATGTACCGTAATAATGCTGACAAAAGGACTATGGTCCCCCTTTGCCATCCCTCTTTCCCCTCTTCTCCCCGATAAGTCTGTCCCTGAATGTCCCTTTACTGCAGCTTGTGCTGAAGAAGCCTAATTACCAAACTTCTGCTCATTACAGACCTCCCCTGCACACACCGGTGTCGCTCTGCTCTCAGTACAGTCTGTGCTGGCACTGCCTTGCATGCTAACAACTTGATCTGCACCAGAGAGGAGAAGGAATTACTCTAAGAAGCCAAGGTGGCAGAGGGGACACTCGGGGTTTCCTGGCATTTCCAGAGCTTTTTGTCTGTAGCTAGCAGCAGAGGAGCTGCCTGTAAATATTCATGATCGCTACAGCATGATCAAAGTCAAACGAGTCACCACCTCCCCACAGGGAGCCAGGCAGAGAACTGGCAACGAACGCCGCACTTTATTATTTGGATTGCTGAAGTTCTGTAGAGACTGGCAGAGCGCTGTGTCAGGCAGCGCGATGCTGGGTGCTGCGCAGAGTCTGAATGAGAAAGATAAAGGGAGCAGAAACCAACATCTCACACGTGGACAACTCGCTGGTCTGAGCCTGTCAAGAATTTTGCAGGTTATGCTCTTAAATGCAGGAGGTTTAAGGGCTTGGCTCAGACGCCTAAAAACATAGATGTCTACTGCCAGTGGAGATGCACTGCAGCATTTGAGATGGCCATGGGACCTGGCAAATCGGACATAGGACATGCAGGGCGCTCATTATGGAAAGGGAAATTATTAGGTACTAGCTTTTGCACTCAGGTGTATTAAATTTATCCTAAATCCACAAACAGTTCTGCTTGTTTTAATGCTGTGGTTTTGTTTGACAAATTATTTGCCAAAAATATCACCTTATACTCTCATTTTGGTCTCGAATTGGACCATTGACCTGTGTCACAAGATGCCTCTCGTCACCTGCTGCTACCCCTCTTCTCTCCACCATAAGCACTTGCTATCAATCTTTAACTGACCTTTGCTTCTTGGGAAAAATACCCCCAGCTTCTCGAGTTCACAAGTACAGGTTGAATGGGGCAAGGTTGGATGGGGCAACTCAGATTCTTCGCTTATTCATGGATTTATTGCTTTGTACCAAAGAGCAATAAATTACTGCTCTGCAAAGTCCCTAGGGCTTGTCAGATTCTCCTACAATCACTGTCCCTAGATAAGGCTCAGAGTAAAAAACAGGACAAATTTACTTCACCAGAATGAAAGGTTCTACTTCTGACTACAAATTAAAAACATGGTTACAAAAGAAAATTGTAAAATAAGGAACCATAATTCTCTGTTATAGTTAAAAGAAGTGCACATCTTAGCTCTCTTGTCTTTGCTAGTGCTACCTCCCCTCACCCATGCCAGCTGGAGAGTTTGTGGGCTCTTAACTCTCCCTTACGTAGAGCTGGAATCTGCAGAGGTGCTCAGAAACGAAAGCACCAGCCCCTTCTCTCTCTGTTTGATAAATGGAAGATTCATGTGGGGTTTTTCCCCCTTTCCTTAGGGCTGCTCAGCCAGGCTGAAGGCCATCACTCTTGCAGGGTCAAGCACCAATAGCCAGTAAACAAAAGGCCACCAAAAAACTGGAGGGCCTTTCAAAGTGCAGTGGGATGTACATGTATCTGCTCAGCTCTAAGCGAGATCACTCCTGAAGTCACCAGCAACACTCAGCGATGGGACAAAGCAAAGGGGTAAGGGTAATTGTGTGGTGAACATTCAACAGCAGAGTACCTGGGGATTAAAGACTTTGCCTGGTAACCCTGAATTTACAGGTCTTCCTTTTTTAACTGAGGCCCCAGTACCGTGCAGATCTGGCACTCTCTAAAGCCCCTTCATGACCACTTGAGCTGGCACCCCTTTGCGCATGGCCAGATGTGGCCAGATGTGGCCAGGCCTAACCCAACAACCCCCTTTTGCCTCCTTTCTCCCTTCCGCTTGTCTGTTCGGTCTTCCTACTTGTCTCTATGTCCTCAGTCTGACCTGTGCTCAGAGATTAGTGGCTTCTCAGAGTTCAACTAAAAAGACTCATTTAGGAATTATTTAAATCTCTCTGAAGACAATCGAGTCCATTTAAATCCTAACTAATTTTCTTAAGTCTGTTTTTCCTCAAATAAGCCCTTGAAGGAGGTATTAATACATCAAAAGGAAACCATTTAGCTGAGTATTTTTCCTTCCATAACTGGCCACTTTCCCTAGTTGTCTCACCACTCCCCTCCCCTTCTACCAAAGCTCAGACAACTCACAGTCCAAAGGGAATGAAATATTTTTAACTCCTTCCACGCCCTCAATCTCTATCATGAATCCTCCTCTCTCTGCCAGTAACAAATCACTGGCTGAAAAGGCTGAACTATTTCCTTGCCCTAATTCCGAATATAAAAACGATCCTGCATCTGAGAAGAGCTGTTCCCCTCCCAGTCCTGGCACTGACACCTCTTTGACTCCTCTTTTGGTCCACCTTCTATAAGAAGACTAGATGGTCTTCAAGGTCCCTTCTAACCCAAACCCTTCTGTGATTCTATGAATCTATGATATAATTTTGCTTTTTTTCTCTTCCTGAAATTTTGCTGAGAACTGTAACCGGTGCACGCTATCACTGCTTATCCAAAGTCTGCCAACACTTATGAATGCAGTTGGTGTACAGGAACCGGTGGTTATTTCAATACCAAGTCAAACAGAACAACTCGGACCACATCTAGCACAGCACCAAATATTATCAGTGCTACTTTCTGATTAATGAGCTACATTTAATGTCCATCTACTCTTCAGCTTTGGAAGCTATTCGATAGCTACCTCCATTCTGCAAAAAGCTTTACATTATGTCCTAGTTCTGAGTTCTTCCAAAGACTGGGTTTATTTTTGTACCACAGCACTAGCTCCATTTGCTACAGGAAGATGGCTTTTAAGGGTGGCATGTTACATGTTGAAAAACATGGAACACTTTGACCCTTACTGCAGCAATACCTTCAGAAATTATCTTACCTAGAATCAAGCTCCTTATCTCTTGCTGTGTTACAAAGACCACAGACACTAGCAGAAAATTCTTGGAGCTTTTTTCCCACTTTCTATACAACATTTGTTATGTTGAGGATGGTTGTAATGATCAGCTGCTGTAGCTGCCTCTCCTTGCTGTTAATCAGTACCTATTCAGGCAAGGATTATGCTTCAGACAATCCTATTTCTGGGCTGCGAGATGTCAACAGACTGAGTAGGGTCAATTATAAGCCTGATGAAGCAGTTGTTTACTTCCTCCCGTTGGCAGCATTGCTGCAGTGGCCACAGCACAAGCCAGGGAACCCCACCGCAGAGGACGATGCTGTTCAGCACATTGTGCTGAGTTTGCACTCACAGCCCCAGAGGACATGGCCTGGCTTCACTGCAAGCAACGGAAATGTCTGCTGACTTCAGGGATCCTAGGACAGCAGATCCAAGAACTTTGGGACAAATCTCTTTGCATGAAATGTTGTGGGCAATGCCGCCATTTGTCCGCTCTGAGAGGTGCTCAGCATTAATGTCTAATCCTGTGCACGATGAAAGGCGGTGCAATGATGGATATATTATGTACAAACTTGTACATCATGGCTAGAGAAACAGCTTGTTTTCTGTGACTATTTCCAGCCTGGGAATGGGTCCCGAGGAGAATAACGTAGTCAGTAGTTCAGCACAGGGAACTTTTGGACCTGGTCGATGAATCTTTTATTAATCATTAAGCACTGTGAAACTCATAGCACAGGATATTCTGGAGATGTCAGGACGTGTCCCTGGAACCACATATTTGGAGGCATGATGGGGAAAAAGAGATCAACATTACTTTCATCAGAAGAGCAGAATGAGCGAGATGAGGTAAAATCTACCACCAGACAAAGGCTGGAGATGGGGAAAAGGGAACAGTGAGTCGTGCAATTTGAAATCAGTATTGCTGG